CGGTGCACGGATTTCGGGCACTTCTTTTCATCCGATCGGCTCTTATGTGGTGTGGCTGGGCCCCCTATGTTGTGTAGTCATATTCAATTTCTCTATGTCTTTTAACATTTGCGCTATGTCATTTTTCGTTTTGCGTGCCGTTGTGCAGCGATTTCGAGGCATTCTCTTTTCACAATAGTGCTATACTTAGGTTGTACTTCTTAGATCGCATTTCATGCATTTCTGCAGTTTGCGTGCCCATGTTGCACGCATTTCGGGGCTTCTCATTTTCTTAGCATCTGTGCATACTAGGCTGAGTATCTTTAGTTGCATTCATGCATGTCATGCATATTGCTCGTGTTTCGGGATAGGAGTTTGCCGGGCACGGGAAACGAGGTGCGTTTGTGTACTCCGAGTGACGGACGTGTCTCACATTCCCATCACCGACACTCCGGATTTATCCCATTGATGGGGTTAGGTCTTGTTGTGTTTACCGTGCATTTTTCTATATTAGTTGACATTTCGGCTTCCTCGGCCATCATGCATCGAATATGCGTATTGGTGGCCTACGGGATCGGGCATGCATTTATTTGTGAAAACATTGCTATGCCCCTTCCTGCTCTCTATTGCAGCAAAATGAAGATCTAGAACTTTTTTGGAGTTTTGGTGTCGATTTAGGAAAGTCGTAAACAGAGGCTGATTGAGGGATCTCGGTGATTTCCGTGCGGGCCCCAGACATGCCATCACTTCATCAGGAGCAAGGCAGTTCCCTGGCTTGTATGCCGTTTACGTTTTCTTTAGTTTAATGGATTAATTAATTAGGAATTTGTTACATATTTGGATATATATATTGGATGTACTATCTTTTTTTTCACTTTGGGACTGTATTATTTATTCGGACCCTCTGTGCGGGCTAATTGTATAATAGTGTGGGTGTGTGTGTTGTTTGTCTTCAACACCAGTTCTTTTTCTCCCTTATTTATTTACCTTGTTATGATGGTTAGATTAGGATATTTCAATTAGCTACAGTATGACGCTTTTGTCTTCATCTGTTTTGCTGCTGGGCTTGGCGCACCATGACTAACTGATCGTTACTTTCATTCCAATTTGAATACATTAGTTTGCATTTTGTGGTTCATTATGCCTTAGATAGCGGCTGCTTTAGTTGATTTTGCATGTGTTTGCATTAGGCATTCTGTTTATTAGGATTCACTGCATGAATTTCTATGTGTTTCTATTTTGGCTTGGAGAGGTACTCGGAAGTTTATTGGCTTTGAATCCTTGCATGCAATGTGGAGTGATTGCCATGATACATGCTACCATGGTACTTGTTATGTGTATTTCTGGCTAATGCTGTTGGAGTGAGGGTTTAGTTCTTGGATTGGAATAAATCATCCAACTGTTTTGTTTTAGCCACTAGATAGTTTGGCAAACCATCTTTTCTAAGCCCACTGCGGGTGGCAAATCTGGCATTGATAAGCTACTTACGAGTAGCCAACCATCTTTCAATAACAGACTGAATGTTTTGTTTCAATTCGGGCGACCCTCTAATTAATGCTGGTGGTGAATCACATAGTAACCTTAGGCTATACCGGATAAGACACACAATGTTTTCAAACAATTGATATCATTGGTTGTAGAGGCGATCTGGACTCGGGCGAGCCGGGGCGTTCTCACGAAGTGACCCTTCCCCATGTCCCGTCCGAGCGAGGCCTTTGGTGATGCGGGGACCGGTGGCTTAGGCAACGAGTCGGGTTCTCCTAATTTTCCATAAAAAAAACTTTAGGGTGCGACTCTGTATCTGGCAAGCAGTCCATGTTTTGGCACTTTTTCAAATAGTTTTTCTTTCAAAAACGTTTTTTGCCGGATTTGGAGCTCTTTGGTTCAGACTTAGAACCATGACAAATTTGGAGAGTCATGAGCTGTAGTGACCCCAAAATGAACGGAACGGGAGCTCGTTCCTCCCGGGACGTTCGGGGACGTCTACAACCACACTAGTGTATTTTCACTATTTCAAGCACCACAAACTAATTATTTGTCGAGGCATATAGAAGACGGGCAATAGTTGTAAAACTTAATCCTACACCAAAATGAGCTTAATATACAATACTTGCATATTCTGGTGCAAGATACCCAAAAGTTCCGGCTAGTTTTGTTTCAACTAAAACATTCCCATCTGGTGCGAGACGAACAAGTCCAAAATCGGCAACCTTAGCACGCATATCATCTCCTAGAAGAATGTTCGTTGGTTTAAGATCCCTATGGACGAAACTTTGATGGGCTAAAGCATGTAGATACTCAACACCTCTAGCCACATCTAGGCCAAGGGTCAGACGTTTCAACCATTCAAGGGGTTTCAACCCTTCCTCGTTCCAATGAAACAGGTGCCTACTAAGAGTCCCTTGAGGCATGTATTCATAAACAAGTAGCCTCTCATTTCCATCCAAGCAGTAACCCAAGAGAGAAACAAAATGCCTATGTCGAACCTTAGTAAGCACTGCAATCTCAGAATTGAACTCATCCAAACCCTTGTCACTCACCACTCCAGACTCCATCCTCTTAACCGCAATCTTAGTCCCATCATTGAACTCTCCTTTGTAAACTTTTCCAAATCCTCCTCTTCCCAATATGTTCTCTTCACTAAAATTGTTGGTCACAGTCTTCAAAACTTGAATGGAGATTACCATATTTCTGGCTTCAATAACACGAATATCACAGGTCCACGACTGTCATGACTGTATGTTTCACCCGTTGTCCCACCAGTCAAACCCAAATCAGCAATGGTAATCTTAACATCATCACGGTCTGAACCTGAATGATGAGGACAAACCCACAACCACACCAGTCAACTTATTGCCACTACTTCCCGAGGTCTTTGTTCCACTAACTGAGGGCGTACCCGGCAATGGACTAACATTATCCTTCCCAATATCATGATTCCCATCAGTTTTTACAAGTACATTACTCTGAAAAGATGGAATGTTCCCATAAAGCTGGTTGTTCGAAACATCTAATTCTCTTAGGTTAGGCAAAGTTGTGAGCTCATTAGGGAACCGAACCAGTGAGTTGGTTGGACATGAACTCGAGTCTCTGCAAGAAAGTGAGGTTGGCGAGACTCGGAGGAAGAGAGCCTTTCAGGTGCTGATGCCCAATTTGGATTCGGGTGACCCGATTGTCGCTGGAGCAACCCACATTCTGCCATTTGCAGGGGTCTGAGTCGGTCCAGCCGAGTGAACTCGGAGGGTTGATGCTCTGCTTGAGAGCCTGCATTACTGAAGCGTCGTCACTCTGACAGTGAACAAAGACAAAAGAGGAGAGGAGAGAGAGGAATATGAGGGACAAAACCCTAGAATCAAGATGGGGTGTTGTGTCCATATTCTCGAGAAAATCGGGGAGAAAGAGGAAGAAAACCATGAGAGACAGTGGTGGTGGTGGGGGAGTTGATCTTGTTTAGAAGTAGCAGGGAATGGCATTTTAGAAGTAGCAGGGAAGTAGCAGGGAAAACCATAAAGAGTAATGTTGGAGATATAAATAGAAGAATCTTATATGTATTAATTAGTATATTACAGATGATGTAACATAATTTTAGAGATTTTAAATATTTATAATTTGTATAATAGGTAGAGTCAGTAATAATGACATAATATTAATTGATATATTAATGTGTATATTAATAGGTAGAGTCAATAAGAAAACCATGAGACACAATGGAAGCCTATTTTCTTTATTCACATATTCTATGAGCTCTGCCCATTGTATAAACTCTGAAAACGATAAAGCATGATGCCCAGATTGCATGGGGCAATTTCCCAGACCTGTGAAATGGTGTTACATCTCAAGAGGCAATGCGCTACCTTTTTCAACTTCTCACTACAGACGCCATAAACATCAGAACTAAGAATTATCAAGCCTGACCTTACCATAAAGCTAGTCAAGTCCAAGCTTCAGGCCTTAAAATTTGAGAAGGGCCAATTTTATAATATAATGTAATAAGCCCATGTGATTTATTATTTACTCTTTGAATAAAAAGGCCCAAAACAAACAAAAGGACCCAAACTTTATTTTACATTAAAAATTAAAAAAAAATTTAAAAATGCAATCTTACAGTTCTTTTTTTTTAGATGGGAAAGTTGAGTTCTCTCTCTCTCTCTCTATATATACTGGCGTATACCCGTGTCTGAAGATACGGTGTAAATAATATTAAGATTAGAATATAATTGTAATCCCAATACTATTTAAATTTATTTACACCGTGCCATGCCACTCTTCCCAATATGTTCACGACTACAACAGATACATTTCATTTGAATGGTTAGGATGATTCCCAATATGTAGGATTAAGAGATACATTTCATTTGACTGGTTGGGATGATTCCTAATCAATATCTAATAGTTAGCATGTAGTCCATATTCTCCTCTTCTTTCCAATATGTTCTCTGCGCTATTAGGAGGATCCTGAAGGCATAGTTAGCATGTAGTTCATATTCTAGTGTATGCCCGTGCTTGAAGGCACAGTGTAAATAATATTAGGATTATAATATAATTGTAATTGCAACACTATTTAAATTCAAGATTAAAATGCAATTATAAAAATATATTTAACAGACTACACTCTACAATTCCAAACAAATCAAATATAAAAAAAAAAATTAAATATCAAATAATGCACACCAGCCAGTACTCTGCAATTTAAATGAAATTAAAATTAAAATGCACACTAGTTAGTGTTACTGCTGCTAATCAAATTCTAACTACATAAGAAAAACAAACATTATATATTGTCATACACCAAAAGAGTGAGTTAAAACTTTATAAAGAAAAGTGGGTCGAAACTTTCCAGAATATGTATGCTTTATAGAAGATGTGTCAATAACATGTCTTCAAACATGTGTTTGCCCAAACTTCCTCATCATTACTTTTGAAAAAGTCTTGGTATTAACTTGTATGTATCCCCAATGAGGAACATGCACAACAATCTGGTAATTTATGGAAACAAAAAAAAAATATAGATTGGTATATTTGTTGAAAATATACATATCAAAATACTTTGAGATTGAAGTTACCTTATTACATCCCCATCGAAGCAAGCTAGTTGTATTTCTCCTTTCAAGCTCCATAAATTTTTCGATCCAATCCTAAAAAAATCCATATTTCCAATTATTATTAGATTGAAATTTTATAAAAAAAAAATCTATATATATAATCAATAGAAATAAATCTATATGGTTACCTTTTGATAAAACATGATTTAATGAACATTGAACACTACAACAACACTTCAGGATAAACAATATTTGTAGTAGAATCCAAACTATCTTTATGGAGGAGAATACTTATACGATCAAAGGATGTACATCTGGACAATGCCACATATAATTGGACATGGCTAAACACTGGTATGCGCAAATCAACTCCAACAAATTTCACAGATTGTCCTTGAGATTTATTAATGGTCAAGGCATATGCTAATCGGACTGGAAATTGACGTCTTGTCATTTGGAAAGGCATTTCTGAAGAAGATGGTGTCAAAGATATCCTTGGTATGAATGCCAAATTGCCAAAACTTTTCTCCAGTTTTAAAATTTGAGCTTCAATTATGCGAGTGTCGCACCTTAGTAACCATCAATCTGTACCATTACATTAGTCCATCTTTCAGCTGCAATATGTTTTCTTAAACAATATTATAGGACAACCCATTTCAACTCTAACTTAAAAGTTGGTAGCCCGGGAGGATTCAATTGAAATTTAAAATATTCATAGGATATCTATTTGTAATGTTGATCAATTCATTATTCTTCAGGACATTTTATCTTGCTGCAAATAAGTATATAATCTCCCTGGAAAGATATTCAAGCGTAGTATTCAATGTCATGACATTCACGTTACGTACAGACAGAATGGTGCGTTCAGTTAAAAATGTTGGGGTCGACGTCTCTATCATATTCAACTGTGGGTAAACTGTAGAAAGCAATTCATTCAAATCTTGACATTTGTGTATTGTTCATGGAAGGTTGATGATTTCTTGAGGATTGTCCCAATCTAAAAAAAGTGAAATCAATTAAAAAAAATATGAGTGTAAACACAATTTATTAATTTAAAATAATCTATATAATGAAGAAAAAGGTTAAAGTAGTGTTACCTCCATGAAGAATTTTGCAAAAATAGCATTTTCATGGTCTTCATGATTCAAGCGCATATTCAAATCCAAAGTTAAGATATGTATGTGCTTCCATAGAACAGAGTGTCTTAATGATGCATTCACAATTTGCTCACGAAATCCTTTAGGTATAACTGGTAAGATTTGTCGAAAGTCTCCACCAAGAACAACAGTAATACCCCCAAATGGCTTTTCACTATCACGAATATCCCTCAATGTACGATCAACCGACTCAACACAATGTCTATGTTGCACAGGAACTTCATCCCAAATTATGAGTTTTGTTTCTCTAAACAACTCAGCTTGTAATGATTGTTTAGTAAACCCACAAAGTGAATTTTCCAAGACATCTAACGGAATGGAAAATGTTGAATGTGCAGTGCGACCTCCTACCAATAACAATGATGCAATTCTAAATGAAGCCACAGTAACAACGATATGCACAAGGCTACGACATTTTAATGCAATCGTATTGTACAGAAATGTTTTCCCTGTTCCAGTACCCCCATTAAGAAAGAAAACAGTTCCTCTACTTTGAAAAATTGAAAAAATGATTGTGTTATAAGCATTCCGTTGTCCATTGTTGAGATAATCAATAGCAATTTCTGGATCTGCCTGTTGTGCCTCATTCTGCAGTTGTTGATGTTCGAATATCAATCGATTACCAACTACTGCACTCCAATTTGCAGTAGGTTGTGGCATGGGTGGGAAGTCAATTAAACATTTGCCTGATTCATGAAGCATTTGATTCAAAAGATGGAGACCATAATCTTCAATTTGAGCCTCAGTTGGGTTAGAAATGGCAAACAATGTACGAATCTTATGTGCAAGATCATCACATATATGCGTTGAGAATTGATTCCATAATGCACATGGATTTAGTGGAGAGCACTGGGTGAGAATAACACTAAACAATCTCCTCAATTGGTATCCAGTTTTCATAACTGCAGCCTCTTTCAAGCATTGTATCCATTCTTCATCATCTTTTAAAAGCCCCCTTGCAACACATGCTAATTTAAATGTATCATACACAACATTATCGACCGTGCGTAAAGACCGAAATGACTTTGGTCCTTCGACAACAATTAGTAACAAATGCAGATAAAATCTTTCACCACAATTAGGACTGGCAAAGTACATTCTACCAATTGCATATCCTCTTTCTCTTGATTTCCATCTCTTTTCTGATTTGAGCGATAAAAAATGCTGTGGAAATTCTTGATAAGTGAATGGACATTCATCTTCACTGGCAGCACAATATGCAAAGAAACCAGTAAGAGTTGACATTTGTTGACCAGCTCTAGATTGAATCGTTTCTAATGACTCTTCTGGGTTAAAAACAACGCGATGCATTCCAGGTAAATGAAGTGCCAATCGTACAACTGTTGGTATCTCTGCATGCAAAGGATGACCAAATATTCGCCAAGCAGCTTCTGGAGGTCCAATATACCTTGCATCGAGATATTGTTGAATCTCATTTATCGATCCCAACACCATCATTGTACGATCATAACCCTTATAAATGTACTTATGTATATACTTGACACATCTCATTCCGGTGCATACTTTCACATTTATATGACAGTTGAAAAGTTTAGAAAGATATGCATTGTATGGTACGACATCCCTGTTATCAACTTCTTGCCCCCTCACAGTATGTACTTGGCCATTATTGTGACGACGATAGATGGGGTATCCATCTTGATCCATAGTTGTTGTTTCTATGAAAGCTCGAGGGTATCTCTTACTGCATCTACCATTTTCCATACATGGTGCATGCACATTTCGAGCACCACATAGTCCATGTACCATACAACATTTGACAGTTTCAAAAAGCATAGGATCATCTTTTGGGTCTGGAAATTCTGCACAAACCAATTTGTCTACTTGAGCACATGTCCGAATTTTGTCTGGACCTTTAAGAAATAAAAGTGCATGCATATGGGGGAGGCCTCGTTTTTGAAATTCAATTGTAAAAACATGTGCAACTTTATTTCCAAACACTTTATTTGCTTCTATCTCCTTCATCAAACATTTTCTCTTCAACTCAAAAACACGGGCAATTAAATCAAGACGATCAATAGGTTTTTGATGTGATAATAATGCTGAAGTAATTTCTGGCCAATTAGGGTTTGCAGTCATGGTAAGAAAAATATCTGGGTGTTGGTTGTATCGCGTGATAGCCATTGAATCTTGAAAGATTTCAAACATATGTCTA